GGGCGGCCCCGACGTCAGGGGACAGGCCGGGCTTTCCAGCAACACTGAAGATGACAGGCCTCGCATTTGAACCGAGTGGCCGGTACCCCCTAGCCATTGTCTCATTGGAGGGCCAGCGGCCGCAGAGGCAGGCAGGGAGGGCCGGGTCGCCAGCCTCATTGGGTTCTGACAACCAAAGTCCAAAGCTCGGGGAGGGGCCTGGCCCAAGGTCGGTCACCCAGTCGAGGCCAGGCCGGGACTTGGAATTCCACCCGCTTTAACATACCCAGCATTCTACTTTAACCTAAGAGGAAGGTATTGAATGCCGTGTACAGGAGAGATTGTACGTGGGTTTTTATTTTATTTATTTATTATTTATTTATTTTTAAGATTAGTTCGGTGCATTTTAGAATGTGGGCTGATAATATGCAAGTGTGTACAATTCGGAGAAAGTCATTTGGCTGTTTTGGTCACAGTAGAAAAACACTTGTAAGAAGCTCTATAAATTGTATTATTATCAATACATCTCAGTGAAGTTTTTGGAACCTTGATTTTTCTGGATGTTTCTTATGGAGGAGCTTTCTCTCTCTCTCCCCTTTAATTAGCAGTTTGGCGATGCTTCCTTTAGGGTTCTCTGAGTGCAAAGGAGAGAAGGGGCGGAGGCACTGCTGCAGGTTGATGGCCCTGTTTGCTGGAGGGAGACCCTGGGGAAGGCCTTTCTGTGACTGTCCAGGTGACATCTTCAGCTCCCAGCCAGCCCAGGACCCCTCCCTCCGCACCCTTTCCACGGTTTCTACCCGCCGGCCCCTTCCCTCTGCCATCTTGCAGCACCTGAGATTGCAAGAAAAGCTCCCCAAACAGGACTGATTTGCCCTCTACTTTTGAGAGCCCGTGGTTATTACACTCTTGTTTATCGTGACTGTTTCTATGCAGAATCTTTCTCCTGGAGGACGAAAGAACCATGTAATGTTTCTGCATCTCCATTGTACCTTCGCTATGATGGGAGTTTAGAACTGGATGGATGTGTTGTTGAATTGTTTAGTCATTCATTCATTCAGTAAGTGTTGGTTGAGCATCTGTTCTTTTAAAAGCTGGGACTACTGCAGCAAATACACATACCTTCATGGAGCTTATGTTCTTGTGGGGAACCATGACACTGGCAGGCGCACAGAGTCATCATAGGTTATTAGTGCTGTGAAGGAAAAGACTAACAGACCTATTTTAGACATGCCGGTCAGTGAAGGTCTCCGAGGTGATGTTTAAGCTGGAGGTTTGTATGAGAGGAAGCCAGGAGTGCCGAAGGTGCAGCAGGAGCTAAAGGGTAGGGGAGAGCTGGGTGTCCTAGGAGTGTGAGGAGGCCAGAGTGGCCATAGTGTAGTAAATGCCTAGGAGGATATGTGGTCAGGCAGGTAGGCTGCAGTCTGGAAGAAGTTTAGATTTTATTCCATGTCCACTGGGAACCTGTTGAAGAGTTTTAAGCAGGCGACTGAAGTGAACTGGTCAGTATTTATAAAAGGTTGCTGACCACCCGGTGGCAGGTGTATCGCGGGGCAAAAAGGTGAAGCAGGGAAATGAGTTCAGTGGAATTGCTGTGGCTCCGGTGCAAGGTGGTTAGGACTGGGGTTAGGTGATGGTGGAGGAGAGAAGGAGAAAAGAGGATGGACTTGAGACGATGTCAGAATTTGCCCTTGAAGGATGAGTGAAATGGAGGGGTGAGGTGTCCATTCATCTTTCCAACAAGGCTTTCAGCAGGGTAACCCGGGACTTAGGCTGTCGTACATGCTCAGGGAAGGCTCGTCCAAGTTACGCTGAGGCACTTCAGAAGCCGTTTCTAGAGCACTGAAGGACAGTGGCATGAAAGAGGTCATGCAGAAAGGCCTGGGAACTTTCATACTGCGTCCCTGCGCCAGACCCGTGGCCACCATCATCCTCATCACTCTCATCTCAGCTGATCGACAGAGGGCTCACAATTATTGAGTATTTGCTACAGGCTAGACGTGCTAAGTTGTGTCATTAATTCTTACAGTCATGTCACATAGGTACTGTTATTAGCTCCATTATCTAGATGTGGAAGTGAGAAACCTGGCCCAGAGTCAGTCAGCTTCTGAGTGGCGGAGTCGCCAGCTGCACCCAGGCCGTCTGCAGACCTCACATTCTCTGTGCTTCATTCAAAACCGGTACCTTCGTTTTGAACAGAGACTAAAACCAGGAGGAGAGTCTCCTGTCTGAGAAAGCAGATATCTTCTCTCTTTGGCCATGTTTTTCCTCCTGTTTCCGACTTGTGATACCTCTGCCCAGCCAGTGTCTCCTGTCTCTGAAACTGGACTTCTGATGTCTCCACCTCCCCATCCCCCGCACAGCTGACTGCCTGCCCCTCAGGATCCCGGATGCGGCTTTACCTGGGCGGGTGCCAGTCTGAGGTTTCTTTTTGAGATGGACATTTTGATTGTATAATTCTTGTAACATCTTTCCTTTCTCTTGTGGACAGGCTCCAGAGATGGACAAGCAAATGGGGGATGAAAAGCCTTCAACACCTTCTGCATCGCCCCAGCCGCCTGCTGAGAAGAATTCATATCTCTACTCCACGGAGATCACCCTGTGGACGGTGGTGGCCGCCATCCAGGCCTTGGAAAAGAAAGTGGATTCCTGTCTGGCCCGCTTGTTGACTCTGGAGGGGCGGACGGGGACAGCTGAGAAGAAGCTGGCCGACTGCGAGAAGACGACCCTGGAGTTCGGGAACCAGCTGGAGGGCAAGTGGGCCGTGCTGGGGACGCTGCTACAGGAGTACGGGCTGCTGCAGAGGCGGCTAGAGAACATGGAGAACCTGCTGAGGAACAGGAACTTCTGGGTCCTGCGGCTGCCCCCGGGCAGCAAGGGGGAGGTTCCCAAGGTAACCCTGGGCCCCTGGGGTGGGACAGCCTAAGGGACCGTGCCTGTAAGTATGGGCGAGCGTGCATGAGGCTTGTGGTTCCAGGTGCCTGTGACCTTTGATGACGTGGCCGTGTATTTCTCCGAGCTGGAGTGGGGTAGGCTGGACGAGTGGCAGAAGGAGCTCTACAAGCACGTGATGAGGGGCAACTACGAGATGCTGGTCTCCCTGGGTAAGGCCGCGGAGAAGAGATCTGGGCCTTTGTTTGCAGGTCGGCCTCCTGCAGTCTTGTGTCCTCGCTTTGGCTTCTGTTCCTCTGGTGTCTCTGTCTCTGGGCAATTGCGTAGCAGGCGTCCAGCCCTGACCCAGCTCTCTGTCTCCGTTCTATACGCAGATTATGCCATCTCCAAACCGGACATCCTCACCCGCATGGAGAGGGGAGAAGAGCCTTGTCCTGAAGGCCTGTGGGGCCAGGAGGAAGGGAAGGAGAGCGAGGCAGCACGCCCAAGGAGGCTGGGCCCTGGTGAGTGGGCGCAAGACGGGGACCAGCTGGGGCAACCTGAACCATGTCCCCACTCCCCTGGGCTCCCCAGACGTGCTACACAGGCCCGTGACCCAAAGCGGGCATGATCTGTCCCAGGCCGGCCAGTCGGGGCAGGGGCGGGGCTTTCGCTTTCGAGCTGCACAGTTTCTGCATCTGTGCGAGGGGACGGCAGTGCTTGCCCCGCATGGCGGCTGTGAGGGCTAAGGGGATGATGGCAGGCGTAAAGCGGCGCGTTTTATGTAAGTGCGCACTTGTTATCGGCAGTAAGGCTAGTGGCAGCAGCAGCATCGTTGCTACCGCCTCCTGCTTCCCCGTCAACCTCTGCTCCCCAACTGTAACCTGTAGCTGTACGGCCTGCAGTGTTCTGGCTGCCCTTTGTGGAAGTGGACCCTCCTGGAGGAGGAGCCTGGGGACAACTTTGTCCCCACAGCTGCTGTGTATAGGACGGTGATTTCAAAGGTGACTGTATATCAGAATCTTCTGGGGAGTTTTTTTGGTTAAATAAATGAAAAATTTAAAAATAAATGGAAGTAAAATTCTACAGTGAACCTCCAAATCATCAGATTCAACGATGATTAAGAGTTTGCCACATTTGCTTCTTCCTTTTTTCTAAACATAACCAAAATACCATTATCACACCCAACAGATTAATATCTAATACCTAGAACATGTTCTGTTTTCCTTGATTGTCTCTTTAGGTGTTTGGATCCTATTTCTAATAAACCAGTCTACATAATGCGTCTGGCTTACAAAAAGTCCATAAAAAGCCTATACCTTCCCCAACAACTTTATTGAGATATAATTAACATACTATGCAATTCATGGGCTAAAGTATATAATTCAGTATTTTTACTATATTTACAGAGTTTTGTGACCATCACCACAGTCTAATTTAAAAATTTTCTTGTCTCACCTAAAAGAACCTATAGATGTTAGACAACTTTTTGTTCCTCTCTCCCTATTCCCCAGCCCTAGGCAACCACCAATCTGCTTTCTATCTCTATACAATCACCTATTCTAGGCATTTTGTATAAATGGAATCATACGCCATGTGACTTTTTGGGTCTGCCTTCTTCCACTGAGCACGTTTTCTAGATTTACCCACGTCGTAGCAGGTATCAATACTTCATTCCTTTTCATGGCCAAATAATATTCCATTGTGTAGATATACCACATTTTGTTTCTCCATCAATTGATGGACTGTCCTCACCTCCCTCCTTTTAATGTCATCTATGTGTCAAAATTTTAATATTTACTTTTTAAATGCCATTATTTCCCACATTCTGGATTTAGTGTCATTTAACATGTTCTTCTATTTCTTCCATTTCCTGTAAACTGGTAGATCAATCTAGAGGCTTATGTAGATTCAGGTTCAATCTCATTGGCAAGTCTACTTTAGAGGTGGTGCTGTGTACTCCCTGCTACATCACGTCAGGAGACATAGAGGGTCCAGTTGCTGCTTTTTTGTGATCATCAGCCCCTTAATCCTCTTATTATAAAGTTCTCCATCAACTTTTCACCTGATGATTTTAATGGTCATTGAAGATTATTGCCCATATTTGTTATTTCGTTAGGGGTTGCAGAATGGTGAAATTCTGTTGTTACTTCTGCACTGAGTAGCTGAAATTCTTTTATAAAGAATAATTTCTCTAATTAACTCTTTTAGTGGCCCTGAAATACAGTCTGTACAGAAAAGGCAGGGTAATACTTACCCTTCATCAGAATGAAGAGTTGCAGCTGCCACGATATATGCCAACTCTTTGCAGCCACTTATTTTCATGCTTAATTGTCCCATCTTTAGCTCATGGAAGCCCCTTAAAGTTGGCCCTTAGGTCATTTTGCTGTGACATTCAGTGGCTTTCAGACATCATAAGATGTTCCTGAGTCATCTTGTATATTTCTTGCCCCAGACCTGGAATAAAAATTTCTCCAAGGAGTTTTGATTCCTTTCGGTGAGGAATGATATTTAGAGACTGCAGCATGAGTGCCAGTAGTAGCTAATTTTTGACAATTATTACTAATAAGTGTTTTCGGAAAACATGAATTTTTGAAAGAAAAATCATGAGTTTACATTGATATTTCTAATTCAAATATAATGTTATTTGATTTTATACTTGTATGTCACTTTTCTTTTACATGGATATTTTCAATTTCTTACTATATTAGCATAATTACTTATATGCATTATCTATGTGCAGTCCTAATATTTTCATTCTCCTATAATATCTTATAATTTTAAAATATAAAGCCAATATTACTAGTACTAGCAATTAGATTTTTGATTGAAATCTGAGATTTCTTTGCAGCTCTTGTTCTCTGAATGCATTTCATTCAAGGACTTACAGACAAAATAATGCCTTTTAAAGTCACTTGAAATAATTATTTTCTCTGTGATTATGTCACCAACTCAGTATACAGTTAAGTTCATTTTTCTTCATCAGCTGAGGTGATCTTGGGGTTTTTTCTCCCTTTGTTCTGTTAATATGGTGTATTCTATTGACCTAAGTTCATACATTGAAGCACCCTCGCATTCCAGGAATGAATCTACTCGGTTGTGTTTAATCCTTTTAATATGCTGCTGATTTTGGTTTGCTGCTGTTTTGTTGAGGTTTTTTACATAAGGTCATTAGAGACATTGGTCTGTAGTTTTAGAGGATCTGTCTGGCTTGGCTAGCAGTGTGATTTTAATGGTATCTCTCTCATTATGAGTGTGGTTTAGTATCTTTTTGTTTGTTTATGGGCCATTATAACTGTTTATTAACTTCTGTGAAATACTCATCTCTTTTGCCCTAGGAAGCTTTTTAAAATGATAAACTTCTTAGACCCACCCATATCTACTGATGAGAATCTTGGGGTGCTCCCTAGGAGATCCTTATACACTAGCCTGGGGGAGGACTTAAGATTAGGAGTCACTGTTACAGTGTTCTGAGCCAGGAATCCGGAAAGGGCAGACCCTTGGCCCTGCTGTGTGACCTGTCTAGTACCATCAGGTGAGTTACAGTGCCGTACTGCTTCCTTCTGTCAGACATGAAGGCTTTGGCCTAGAATGTAGTCACGAGATGATCAGTGAAGTCCACTTAATTATCATATCCTGTGTTTGCCCTGATGCCCCAGGTCCCGGTGACTGAATGTAGGCTTCTGGCTTGGGGAACTTTGTGTTGTCCTCAGTGTCACTGATTTGTGTTCCCCCAACCTCCCTCCATACCCAGAGCACATCGCCAGCCCAGCCAGCCCTGTCCGGAAGGAGCCACAAGAGAGGCAGCCCCCTGAGCACCAGCACCAGCCAGTCTCAGGAGCAAGAGCAGCCCCGCCCGGAGCAAGCACAGGTGAGTGAGGGCTGCAGGGCAGCGGTGTGGACGGCATCCCAGCAGCAGTGACAGACCAGCAGTACTGAGAAGATGACCGGGACCAGCTGGGCGGAGCCGGACAGACTTCCTGGAAAGGGGGCCACCGAGACAGGCCTTAGAGGAAGAGGAGATTTTGCTGGGAACATAGGGCATTTCA